TGCCACAAGAACAGAGACCTTTCTGGGCACATGATGGTGGTAAATCAAGGCAAGTGGTCTACCCATGTACAAGAACAGGCTTCATGCAGCAGATGCCCATTATGGTGTGAACATCCCCAAGTCCCCTCAGGCTGGGAAAATGTGGCTGTGTTTTTGTAATTTCATGCAGCCAAATTTGTTATGAATTGTTGTGAAACCTTTTGTTGGCCTCCCTTATTCATCAGCTCGGCAAGAGACAAATTAGAATGAAATTAAACTGCTCTTGAAGGCAAAAGCTATTTAATGATTAAACCTCTTCCTCATTAAAGATGAAACTAAGTGAAGCATATTTACTCGCAGCTGAACGAGCCTGCCTGGTGCAGGCTCTGATCGCTGAGTAGGGAATGGGATCGAGAGACGGCCAGCCACAAACTTCTAGTTATCAGCACCCCCAAAACTCCTTTGCTGTCCACCAAGTGTGCTTTTTTTCTCAGAAATTATGTTGCTGAGCACAGAGAATAGGGCCTTTATGGTGGTGGCATCCTTATTCTATGGGAACTTAGGGTTCACAGGAGAAGCTGGGCAATGTCCTCGCAGGAACCCAAGACACTCAAAGGACCTACAGGGCCTTGGAGAGCTCACAGGGTCCAATGACCTAGCTTTGCAAACTGTTGTCTTGGCAAGCACCTAGTTCCAACTGAAACCTCTATATATGTTGTCTGAATTATTAGTCTTTAACCAGTGGGTCAGGACCTACCAGTGGACCATGACTAGTGATGGGGCTTACTTCTTGCCCGTGCTCATTTAGTGTTTGAGATTCTCATCAAACCTGCTCAGTTCATGCTGATGCTTAGTCTGCTTTAGCATTCTGTGCTTCACTTGTACACAACGACAGTGAACTGAGAAGAGTTACAAACTTAAGCTCAGAGATTGAGAACAATGACTACAGTTCAGAGTGAAAAGTTCATCAGAAGATTGGTATTGAAGACTGCTCATGAACTCCTGCATGTAACGCAGGAGATCTGTTTCTGCGTGAGTGTGGAGGAAGCTTCGATGGCTCTTGCTCTTTATTTTGCTCACTTTTAACAAACTTCCATCCTCATCCCTAGTTGCAAGGCCATCTGGTTTGCAGCAAAGCTATTGCCACCATGCTGAGTGCCAGCAACATGAACCAGACCAAAGGTGCTAGTGGATTTTCCACAGGCAACTGTTGGACCACTGTGAGAACAGGGTGCTGGGTTAGATGGGCCATTGCTCTGATCCAGTGGGCTCTCTTGTATGTTCTTAAAATCAAAGCACAGGCAGAAGAGTTCTGCAACAAGTCAGCAGTGGGGCCAAACTAAAAGGTTTGGCTTATAATGGAATCTATCCCTATTTTGATCTATCTTTCCTCTTGTTAATGCTGTCGTATAAGGAACCTATTCAGCGCACATATTTCTTCACCTAAACTGCCCAACGCCTTCTGCCTTAAAGCAGAAGATAATCAAGGCCTCTGCCAAAGATTCATAAGCCACATAGAATTGGTGGGCAGGCTTTCTATTTTACCACCTCTACTTATGACTAATTTTTTAAGTAGGCCTGCAAGATAAATCAGCCTCATGAGTCATCAGGACAAAGGAGCCTATCTCACTCAACCACACCTGCTAAAATGATTTGGGAAAATTCGGTACACTTTGAGATACCAGCATCAATTGTTTCTTTATCTTGCCATGTCTTGCCGGATCTTTCTATACAGGCACAACAGGAGTGGGGGGAATCCTGTCATTTGATGCTGTGTCTTCTTGCACAGGCACAAGGAAAGGGAGCAGAGAGACCAATTTAGCAAGGGTGGTAGTTTCCAAGGAATGAGACAGCTCTTTCAGGCCTTACAATGTTTGTGTAGGTCTGGTGAAGAAGGAGTGTGTCTACGCGACAAAGGGGCATTTGAAAAGAAGAAAGAACTCATGGGTACAGGGTATGTATCCAAGGAGGATTAAAGAGGCATGGATATTAAAGTTTTACTCTAACTGTTTACTGTAGCCAAAACCCCATGACAACAAATGGTTCTCTTTTCTTTCTTTCCTGCAGAGTACTTTCCGTTCCTCACTGTGGCTTTGTTGAAATGCTTTTTTTATTTTTTTTATTTGCTGACTTTGTTTTTTTCTGTAAATAACAAGTATCACAAATTGTCCCTACAGCTATTTTGGACATCATTCACTTCCTGAATTCTCCCTGTGAAGCTGAGTAATGGTTCGAATTCTCCTCAGTTTTATTATTTATTATTCCTTAGAAATCTGTCATAAAATTGCACTTATCAGTCTGTATCTCAACGATTGCCAGTTCACTTTACTATGAATGGCCTTTTATAGTTTAGGAAGTTTTATGACACTAGTCAGAGACTATAGAGTACTCCTTCCCCTCAAAGTATTTGACATCCCGAAAGAAAAGCTGCAGAATGACAGGTGGGAAAGGCAAGTCATAAATTCTGTTTGGGTTCAGATGATCAGGGTTTTGAGCTTTTCTTTTTTGTCATGAGGGGCCATACTTCGGCTGGCAATTTTCTTCAGAGACTCAGGCACTATGTTTCCTCATTGCTTCCTTGGGCTTGCTTACACAAGATCATTTTTTATACCCCCCAGTGATTGTTAGGTGGAAAGTGTCAAGTGCTTCAAATGCCTTTGAGCAGAAAGATGTCTCTACAGAGTTTACTTGTCATTGGATGATAAAGGATGGGAGGTTTATAGCAACTTCCATATATCTATATCTATATCTGTTTCTTACTATATAATAAAATTATAAGGCTGTCATATGAACAGCAGCATGATAACAGAACAGGAGGCAGGTGGATTGAGCAAGGAGGCAGATGGGTATACCAGGCAGGCAGAGTGAGAAAGGCAGGGTAGACCAGTCCCTAACAGCTACCCTGCTTTGCAGACCTATTATAGCAGGTTGATACCAGGGCTGGTTCAAAACATTTTGTTGCCTGAGCTGATGGACAAAACGGTCTCCCCCTCTCATTCCATATACAGAATCTGACCGGATTGGCAGTTAACTCTTATTTTAGCACCAGTGATTAGACATTTTCCACCCAAGGGCTAACTCAAGTACAGAGAAGGCTAGCTTAGGGGAATCAAGGAGGATTGTGGTGGTGGGGAGGTGGCTGCTGCCACCAGCTGGCAACTTCCAGCTGAGGCAGTTGTCTCACTCAGGCTAATGATAGGGCTGGCCCCAGAATGTAGCTTTTGGCACCCACCTCTCAAAGGAAGAGAACATTCATTGAGAAAGTACCTGAATGTGTTTACTCAGAAGTGAGTTCCTTTAAGCTCAGTGAAACTTTCCAGTAATGTTAAGATTGATATATAGATGGTTTGTAAAAGAAGAGGGAAATGTATAAACAAATGCTATGAAACAAACTGGAGCAAAACTCCTTTAAACAATGGCAGAAAGAATTCTCTCCCATCCCCCAGAAAGAAGATAATCATTTCATTAGCAAGGCAAATGGATACCAAATGAAAAAAGCTGGTATGTAATGGCTCGTGGGAGGGGTAAATCCAGGTAGTGAAGCACATTTCTCAAGATTATGTTGCAATTTGCTTCATTTATTGTCAAAATATATTTTGAGTTCCATTGTTTTTTCCAAGGTTTTGTCAGAACTGAACTTTTTCCTTTTACAATAGTTGCCTCACAATGCAGAAGGAAGTTATTGCTTCTCACATTTAATTGCCATGGTAACCAGTTTATGACTACAAACCTTCACAAAGAGAGACCATGAGATGCAAACACAATTCTTTTCCCCACAACAAGGACAATTCTTAGCCTTAGGGAGACAACATGAAAGCAATATATATAGGGATTAGGGAACAAATTTTGCTTGAGTAAACTCTTCACCATAAGAAGATACATATCCAGACAGAAATGACCTCATTTTCAATCCGATACCACAGTCTACTTTGAACTATGGCTGCAATAATACATGATACATCACAAGGAAAAACAAAATATATCAGTTGAGAGTGCACCTTCCCATGGCAGGCAATCAAATGATGACAATTATTGACCCATCATCATTCACACTGAAATGCAACTTAAAGCCGGTAAAACTCCTGAAGTGCTCCTGAAGATTATGATATTGGAGTATATTGGGTCTTGTTAAAAAACAACAGCAACCAAATCACAATAAATCTTGATTGCTCTGTGCAGCACTTATTCTCATAGCATTGTTGTGAACTGAATAAAGAAAGTCCTCCTTTATGCAGAATTGACTTATCTGTGTTTATAAAGATTATGCCAGAACACACCACCACTTTATTTATATTGAACTAGCCAAGCACCTATCAGTTTGATGGGCTACAAGCGGGCAGGGTGCAAAAGGGAGGCGCACCCCCCCCCCAATGCTGGAATTATTTCATTGCAGTGCAGCACTGCTGACAAAGATTTCGGAGAAGGATGGGCAATGTGTCCACTGCCCTTGGGTTGTGCTGGGATTTCTGCAGTATGTCATCCCTCATCCCCACATTAAGAGGAAACAATGAAACTGAAAGGACTGGGTTTTCTGAATATGTGCATAGGAATGGATGCAGTATGTTCAGGGCCCCACTTAGCAGAATGAGTTGGACCACCACTAAATGCAGCAGGGATGGATTGCCAAATTTTGAAGTAAGTGAAACAGTATGTGTACCCATCCAAAGAGCTGCTGGTCTGTACCAGGTACTACCATTAAGTTTAGAGTCTAAAGTTACCTAGTTACACCACTGAAGGAAAGGCAGATTCTGAGTTCTGAATAGATTTAAATATTAAAAATAAAATTTGTGTGATCTGGTAGTTAGCTGCCCTGAGCACAGAATTGACATGCGCCTCCTGTGGCGTTCATATGGAGCCCTCGATCGTTTCACGGACTATTGACCCGTGCATCCCTAATCCGCTGCCATCAACCACTTCCCCTCTGGTAAATCACTTAGTCTCAGTCAGGTTCTTAAGTTAACAATGAAGATTGTAGTTTATTGCAAACACAAATAAACATTAAATGCATTTGAAATGCTATTACCCTTTACCCTCTTAGTCTTATTTTATTCTGTCTCTAACTCTTCAACCTCCCCTCACACAAGAGCAAACTGCACTGTCTCTCTATTTCCATCTGTCTGCCAACTGCTTTCCCAACAGCTTTTCCCAACTGCTTCTTTCCAACCAACCAACTAACTAACTAACTAACTAACTAACTAACTAAACAAACCTTGGGCTAAGCCCTTTTATAAACAGGTACGCTCCGCCTCTGGCTTTTCTATTGGTCTACCTATTAACTCTTTCTCTCCCCCTGTACATTTTCAAAAGAACAGGTAAACGCCACACCTCCATGGACAGCTGTGAGTCCAAAATGACTCCCAAGCTGCACACCTGGTCCTTCAGGGGCACAGTTACCCCATTCAGGACCAGGGAGTCCCCCACACCTGCCCGCCCCCTGTCCCCCCAAAACAGTACTTCTGTCTTGACAGGATTCAACCTCAATCTGTTAGCAGCCATCCATCCTCCAGCCACCTCCAGACACTCACACAGGACCTTCACCGCCTTCACTTGTTCCGATTTGAAGGAGAGGTAGAGCTGGGTATCATCTGCATACTGATGGACAGTATGTTTTTTGGAAACCAGTACAGAAGGGCAAACTACGTGACAAATCTCACATCTAGATTGGACCTTAGAAAAGCATTAAATAGAATTGTACTTTGGGTTAAAATAGGTCATGGGGAATCAGAAACTAAAATAGAACTGATGGGAAGGAACTGATTATTCTCTCCCTCTCTCTTTCTCCTTTAATTGCTCTAATGTTTGTTGCTTCCAACTGGAAGAAAAAGGAATCTCCTAAAAAGGAATGGTGGTGCAATGGGATCTGGGCAGAGTTGTGTGTTAAGAGTCAGTAATGTTGTGCACCTCCAACGTCTCCATTGCAGGGTATGTTGCCAATTCCTGGAAGCTTCTGCCCTTGATGCTTGTCTTCCTTGTTGTGGCTGCTACACACTCACCCGTCCTTGTCAACTAACCAAGCAGAAAGAGGAGCAGGGACCTCCTCACCACTTGATCTCTTCCTCTGGGGGGTGATGTGAACTTGACCCACAGAGAGGCAGCAGAAAGGCAGCAGCAACCGTGATGAGGATGAGGCTATGGGGTCAACTGAGAGCATCTTGCTCAAGTGCATCCCTACAAAAAAGCAGGAACTGGAACTGAATCTGAGACAGAACATATGTGTGTTAGAAACCCTTTCTTGCATATGTACCAAAAGGGCATCAGATGGTCAGCAATGTGGGACAAGTGGGTTTGTCTGTCAATTTTTGGAATTATAACTGTTGGGATAAAGCAGATCCATTTATTCTGCTTTCTGTGTCATGAGTCTATGTTATAAAATCATTTCTTTTTCTTTGAAGAGTTAGTGAGGCTACAGAGTGGTCTTTGCCAACCTGGTACCATCCGGATGCCTTGGGTCACTTCTGGATGACCATTCATCCTGATTCGTTTACATGACATTTTCAGGTAGATTGTACAACCTCAGCTGTATGTCAAACATTCATTGTACTTTGTTTGCAGGGATGTTATACAATACCAAATGGAGCAATTGGGATTCCACATTTCCCAGTGTGCTCTCTTGCTACTCTTCATTTCACAGAAAGTATGATTTTGGTGGTGGCAGTGGGGAAGCTAGTTGAGCAAGGCTTCCCAATCTACTTGAATTTGCTGGTGTGATACTGAATCCCACCTATAAAATAGTAACAGCCTGGAAGCAGCCTTAGACTACAACTCCCATCAGCACAAGCCAGCATAGTTGCAGTTCAATGCATCTGGAAAGCACCAGGCTGATGAAGAGTGCTATAGAAACAAATTATTGGCTCCAAACTGAAAGTTGCCCCCCCCAAACAGTACACACTATACATTTAAAGCACATTCAAAGCTCATTCTTTCCCTCATAAAATCCTGGGTGCTGTAGTTAACTCCTCACAGATTACAATTCCCACCCAGCACTCCTTAATGAACCACAGTGCCCAGAATTCTTTGAGGAGTGTAATGTGCTCTGAATGTGTTTTAAAGGTAGATCGTGTATGAGAAGCTAGTTTCTCACCATTTCTCTGCATCCCTTTTCTGCCTTTGTTCATAACCCTCCACTTTCAGAGATCCTTCTTCTGTATGTATACACAGAGAAGAAATGGAGCAGGCTGCCAAAGGGCTCAGCTGCACAAATGGCATTCTAAAGCCACCACTTGCTGATTCAACAAACATCTTCTGTGTTTTCTTTTCATATCTGGCAATGGGCACAAGACCAGTAAACACAGAACAAATGAAAAATCTCTTGAATGCAAAAAGCACCTGCAAGTTTAGAAACCTCAAGCTCCGGCTTAAAATAGGCGAGGAAGTATTACTCAGAACGTCCACAAAGCCTTTTTGATGTGATCTGTAAACAAGGGAAATAGCCATAGCAGTAGCCAGCTGAACAGTATACCTAACATGACTACCTCCAACTTCAGTGGAAGTAACATGGGTGCAGTACATTGGGGCAGGGACAGTATGTGAAGCCAACTGTGTCCCCTGGGAAACAGATAGTATATAGAGCACTGTCAGGTGCTGATTCAGTGAACCCCTTGCAGATCACATTATGTTCTTCCCATCAGCCAGAAGGGTTAGATGGAGCTTTGCCTTGCCAGGATGGAACTCCTGTCCTGCCCACCAGCCAGGATGCTGAGTAAACTAGTGTTCTCTGTAGCAGGCAGTGTTTGTGAGTCCACACACCCTTCATGGATGACACTTGGGAGCAGCTGGTCATTCTGAAGGTTAACCTTCATTTGCTGGAGTTCTTAGACATTTGGCATGGGGTGAGCTGCATACTGCCAAGTCTAGGGCAAGCATTGCTGCTCCTGCCCACACAATGCTCCCCACTCACTGCTCCCAATGCCTCCTGCCTGAATATTGGCTTCCTCTATACTATATTATTTACTATTGTATTTAACAGGATTTGTTTGCAGGGTTCATCAGAGTTTACCTACAATATGAAATATACATTAAAAATACTGATAAAATCAGGTGTTGAAGTATACTGTATTATAGTTTCTGTGCCCAACAACTACCATGTTCTCTCACTCCTTCTCTCCCCCGACCCCCCCCCCAAAAATCTAGCACATTTCACGTGTTGAAATACTCCTATGCCAAGCCAAAAGGCTGCCTGCTACCACCTAGTTTTTCTCTCTCCTAATCTGCACCCCACTTCAGTGGGGGCACACATTGAAACTCAAAGCACTGCTGTATCAGTAGATAGGGGCTCCTATGCATCTGCCTGCTAAATCTCTGCCTGTTTTTTTCTCTCAAATTGTACCAATATCTGGTCTGCTGCTAACATTTCTGTGCCCACCTTGCTTATCTCTATCTTTTTGGTATCAGGCCACCCTCAGGCACTCATTTGTAGGAACCCTACAAAAGCTGGAATGTCTTCCTGCCAACCCTTACCTCCTCGCTTGCTGTTTCTCTGCCCCCAAACACCGCCCATTTCAATGAGAGATCCCGGTGGCCACTGTGACCATGTGCTCCTGTGCATGCCCACTGAATCTGTACCCAAGTACCAGGGTTCTTCTTGGCTCCATGAGCAAGAGATGCTACCCATACTCTGTAGATGCCTGTTTCAGAAAGGTCCCTGCTGCTCACTGCCTGATGGAGAGAGAAGAACTGTCCATTGTGACTTCACACTGATGCTGCTTGCCTGCAGGAGAGAGACCAGCCATTGTGCCCTCATGATGATGCCTGATGGAGAGAGAGTTGTTATTGTGACCTCATGCTGATGTTGCTAGCCTGAAGGAGAGAGATGCCCATTGTGACCTCACACTGATGCTGCTTGCCTGAAGGAAAGAGAGCAGTCATTGTGCCCTTATGCTGATACTGCAGGGGTGTCCAAACTTTTTTCAAAGAGGGCCAGATTTGATGAAGTGAACATGCGTGAGGGCTGGCCAAAGTTGTTGTAGGATTTTACCCCAAAGTTGTTGACCCTTTTAAAGGATTGAAGTGGTTGAGCTTTTTTTAGAATTTTACCACAAAGTTGTTGACCTTGTTCACCTTTTTTTAGGATTTCCCTCCAAAGTTGTTCACTTCTTTTATGATTACTCACAGAATACTTTTCATATACCTTTTGGCTCAGATCGCAGGCAGCACAGAGGGAAAGACGAACAGTGGGTGGGAGTGAGAGATGACTGGTGGGAGGCAGTGCGAGCCAGATGGCGGGCGGGAGAGAAGGCTGAATGCCGGCTGCCTGCGCGAGCCAGCAGACTGTCAGGAGACAAGGGTGCATGTGAGAGCCAACAGGTGGATGGGACCTAGAGCCACACTCAGGGCGCCTGCGCAAGCCAGCCACCAACTGGGATAGAGAGGAGGGTGCATGTGCCAGACGACGGGTGGATGGGTCCTCAAGCCACGCGCAGGGCACATGTATGAACCAGCAAATGACCGGGGTAAAGAGCAAGACACATGCGCGAGCTGACGAGTGGGCAGCTCCAAGAGCCACACGGTGAGTGGCTGTGAGAGCTGACTGGCAGATGGGTTAGCAAGCTGCAGTGAATAACCGCCCAGTGGAACCACCGCCCACGCTCACACCCTGGGAAGAAACTGCCTGTGGGGCTGGATTAAACTGACCGGCGGGCCAGATTTGGCCCGCGGGCCGGACTTTAGACATACCTGGCTCAAGGAGAGAGACTAGTCCTTTAAGGACAATAGAGTTCCCTGTGGGAGATAGGTTTTGCATCCAAAAGCATCTTTCCCAGGGCAACCGTAATCAAAACAGCTCCCCAGGCAATCAACAGGTAAGGGTCTTTGCTGCTTTGAGGGAGTGTCCCCATGAAAAATCCACAGACTCAGATTGGTTGAAAAATGAACCAAACTCCTTTTCACTTTGCGGTGGGGGGAAGAGGTCAGCTTATTTCTGAGCAAGTTCAGTGTGATCCATGGGCACATGATCATCTTTAACGATGAGCTTCTTTTTCAGCTAAACCACTTTCTCTGACTGCAGGTGAAAACTCACACAATGGAATGTTCCACCATACAAAATATTCCCTGCACACAGAAGGGAAGACCGTTTTCCTTAGTTTTCTGTCTCCAAAACACCAGGAAAGCTTTTAGCAAACAAAATTGGATTCTAACCTTTGACAGGAAAGATGAGGTTTGTGTTTATCACTTAGAAAAGCTCCAAATATGTGTGCTTGATATTTCACTCTTTGTGGCATTTGTTGCCTCATGATCTGTCAGTTTGCCTAATGCTTCCAAGCAAAGCTTTGTGAGACAATTAAATAGAATTAACTATGCGGCAATATTATACTATCAAATATCACAAGGGTGTTGAGTTTAGTATTCTTCAGCATGTCAACAGGCAGGTTAAAACAACATGAGCTGTATTTGTAGGATGTATGAATATCACGGGTGTGTGTGTGTGTGTGTGTGTGTGTGTGTGTAAAGAGAGCTATTGTAAGACAGATCTCTCATAAAAAAGTAGAACTTTTAAGTCCCAGAAATGGAAGACACCGAAGCACACAAACCCCTCATTGTGGTACAAGAATATGTGGACTTCAGCTATTGCAGAGAAATAACTCACAAATCACACATTTCTAAGGATAAAGAAGACCCAGAACATTTTAATGCCTTGGGTGGGTGGGTGATGTCAATTATTACGTGTCAAATTAAGATATACAAAACTCGCACTGTGAAATTTGGCTTTCATGATATATTTTGCTGCTTTTATTTTTCTACATTATCTGCTCTCTGTTTATTTGGAACATGCAACCTCTGTACTGCTCCTATGTTTTGTAACTTTGATTGTGTTTTATTTTCTTTTTATCTTTGATCTTACATTGATAAAAAAAAGCTTTATTAAAGAAAGATAAACATCAGGGTTTTCATAGATTGTTGTCCAAGGCAGAACACAGCTCTCTGCTCCACGAAGCAGAATCAAAATCAAAAGCTTCTCTTATAAGTGCAGAAATAGGGTTGCCACCTGTTTTGCGTCTCTGTGATGCACTTTGGGCAACACCCTGAGACCTCCATGGAGGGCAATTTAAAAATAAATAATAAACGAGGGTGATTTAAGCACAAAACAATGTAAAAATAAATACAACCCAGGTGGTCAAGAAAGCCCAACAGAGACTCCATCTCCTCAGAGTATTGCGAAAGAATGATGTCAATCAACATTTGATGATCGCCTTCTACCGGTCAACAATAGAAAGTGTCCTTTCATACTGCATCACAGTGTGGTACGCTGGTTTGACATCAACTGATAGGAAGTGCTTACAGAGTGTGGTGAATACAGCACAAGATATTATGGGCTGTCCCGAGAATCCACTGGATGAAATAGCGGAAGAACGTTGCCTCAGGAGAGTGAAGAAAATTCTTAGGGATGATTCACACCCTGACCAGCACTTTCCTGATCTCTTGCCCTCAGGCAGAAGGTATAGAAGCATGATTAGTTGCACCAACAGGGTAAAGAACAGCTTCTATCCGTGGGCTGTTAAGCTGCTGAATGAAAAGATAACAGCAGGGCAACTGACTTTCGGGTTTGGTGGGTGTGCATCAGTAAACGAGGGGAATTAAGACTAAAAGAGCTGAGTGGGTGGTGCTAGTGTAATCTCACTGTGTACAAGTTGTACAAGTGACAATAAAGTATTTCAATTTCAATTTCAAAACTCAAAGTAGACAAGGTGTGCTAGCTCTGAATTGGGAACCTTTGCTATTTTGCTTTTTCTCTCCAAAAGAACTGACAAAGATGTGGGGAATGATTTGGATTGGGGCACTGCAGGGAAGAGGGGATCTAACTCTTTGCCCTCCATTTCATAGCCCCAGTCCAAACCACTGCACAAATGTACAGAGCTACTGGTCCTAGAGAGGAAAATGTACACGCTCAAGAGAAAGGAAAAATGGTGTCAGTCCAAAAGTGGACTTCCAGCATCATGTCTAGTTTGAGTGTTAGGAGAGGTCACATTTGTATTTGTGATCATTTGAGTTAACATATTTTCTGCAAATGTATATAACTGAAAAATGTGAAGATTAGGTAAAGGTAAAGGGACCCCTGACCATTAGGTCCAGTCGTGGCCGACTCTGGGGTTGCTCATCTCGCTTTATTGGCCGAGGGAGCCGGCGTACAGGTCATGTGGCCAGCATGACTAAGCCGCTTCTGGCGAACCAGCACAGCACACGGAAACGCCGTTTACCTTCCCGCCAGAGCGGTACCTATTTATCTACTTGCACTTTGACATGCTTTTGAACTGCTAGGTTGGCAGGAGCTGCGACTGAGCAACGGGAGCTCACCCCGTCGCAGGGATTTGAACCACCGACCTTCTGATTGGCAAGTTCTAGGCTCTGTGTTTAACCCACAGCGCCACCCAATTCCCAATGTGAAGATGATGATGATGATGATGATGATGATGATGATGATTGCTGGAAGTGTTCCCCGCACTCCTAAATTAGTATTCGTCCTGATTTGTTTTCAGAGAGATTAGACAATTTTGGCTCTTAAATAAGCAGTCACTCTGATTTGTTTGTAGGGAAGCTAGATGACTTTGCATCAAAGCAGGGGTTGTTGTCCCACAGTTTCCAGGGCATTTTCCTGTTGCTTTCCACATCACAAAACATCCAATACTTTCAGGAGCTGGGTTTGTTATGTGAAACCTCCCAATCAACTGTGATTAAGCTGCTTGAATCTGCTGGCAAGCCCCGCTGAAAATAACAGCAATCTGAAGCACCCAAAATCTCTCCCACTATGGCAAGACATAACGTACAACTATTTGAATGACAGTAACTATTTCTACAAGTGAACCAAAATAAGCATAGGCAAATTTTATGCAAATCATGTTCATTTTTGGTGATGTGCAACTAGTTCCCCTACATTAAGATGTCCATTGCCTTCAAAAATCGATGCTGAACTAGGATCTGAGGTTATTCAAGGCCTGTTTCCATTTTACATGTCCCTTCACTGGAAGAGCAGAGCTGTATCAGAGGCCAGCAATGAAGTAGTTAAGAAATGTCCCCTAGTAGTTAACTTTCTCTGGCTTCTCCAGTTTCTCTCTCCTGCTCTTATATAACAGTTTGCTCAACAGCATCAATGCACAACTGCTTTTGTCACACCTTGATATGTTTTGCTCTTGTTTCCCAGGGTTTAATTAGTATAATTTCCACTTTTGCTACACCTTTTCTCCCTCCTCTTCCCTGCCACTGTCAGATGTGCAGATGGCATACAGCCAACTTAATTCTATTCGTTTCTCCAGTAGGAAAATGAGCAAAGTTACTCTGCGGAATAAATGAAAGAGGGGAAATGGCTCTTAACAATGCATCCTCTGGCACGATGCTACTATTTTAAAGAGATAAGGCTTTTTTTCAGTCAGTTTCCACAGATGATCAAATAATGTGTCTGCTGCATAATTGGCATTAACATACTTAAAAATAATAATTTTAAGTATGTGCAGCTGCTGAGTCTCTCACCTGTTTTAGAGTTATAAAAGTAAAAAACAAACAAACCCCAAACAGTTTGTTGTTGTTTAGTCGTTTAGTCGTGTCCGACTCTTCATGACCCCATGGACCAGAGCACGCCAGGCACTCCTGTCTTCCAGTGCCTCCCGCAATTTGGTCAAACTCATGCTGGTAGCTTCGAGAACACTGTCCAACCATCTCATCCTCTGTCGTCCCCTTCTCCTTATGCCCTCAATCTTTCCCAACATCAGGGTCTTTTCCAGGGAGTCTTCTCTTCCCATGAGGTGGCCAAAGTATTGGAGTCTCAGCTTCACGATCTGTCCTTCCAGTGAGCACTCAGGGCTGATTTCCTTAAGAATGGATA